GAGCTCCAAGTTTCTCACACAGAGGGTCATGGGAGGCTTCAGCTGAGGAACAGGAGATGAGCAGCTCTACCAGCTTATGGATACAGATGGCATTAAAGTGGCACAGAGAAGCTGTGGCTGCCCCTGGATCCCTGGAAATGTCCAAGGCCAGGTTGGACAGGGCCTGGAGCAACCTGGGCTAGTGGAAGGTGTCCCTGCCCACGGCAGGGGGGTGGAATGAGAATGAGATGGTCTTTGAGGTCCCTTCCAACCCAAACCATTCCGTGATTCCAACACAGATGTCTAAAAACAGGTGGGAGGAGCTGCCTGCAAAAACCTGGACGAGCCAGGATGTCTCCAGCCACTCTCCCACTCCCAGCAGGTGAAGCCACAGGGCACAACCTCCAGCTAAACCCACCAGACCACAAGTTACCGACGGATTCTCAGCTCTGCCGTGCTTTTAACACACCAGGCAGGTCCCACTCTGCTCTGATGTTCCTCAGCTGCATAATTCCCTATCACCACTTACACTGCAGACAATAAAAAGACATTCACCACTGAAAATAAGGCTGAAAATAGCTTGTTCCTCCGTCTCAGTGAGTGCTGAAATCGCACTGAAGTGGCGTGTTTACTATGGATATAACTCATTCACGTGCACACCTCCTCCCCTTACTCCTAATTCCCAGAATTTTAGTGGGAAATTACACCAACACCTCCCTACACACAGACTATTTTTTTCCCCCAAAGCTCCCGTAGCAAACCGAAAGCAGAGGTCCTTGGCTTTGCAATGCACAGCTATTCCCAAAATTCCTGGGAATGGGGCCTCCTGTCACCCCTAGCCCTGCACTTCCAAGGGGAGTTCACCAGGGAAGATCCAAACTACATGACAGGGTATCCACAAATCAGCAGACGTGTCAAAATTTTCTTTCTGTTTACATTTACACCTGTACAAAATGGGTTCAAAAAGCTGATTTTGAAATTTTGGACCATTCTGCCACTTCCTTTGTGATGGCAAAAGTAGCTGTGGGATAAAACGGACCCATATGTTGGTTTACGGTCCCTTCCAGACCCACCAAACCCTTCCCTAATGATATCCAGCCACATCCTCTCCCTAAACCACGACCAGAGCAGAACAGCCATGTGCATCAGTTTGTCCTCCAGGCAAAATTCCACTTTCCTCTCCCCCACATCCCCCACCCATCCCAGCAGGTGCTACCTGCCAAAACACAGTGGATGCCAGCGTCTGGTTGGGCAAGAGGAGACCAACAACCTGCAAGAGAAGAGATTTTCCCATCAGTAAATGCTCTTTTGCTTTGCTCTCAGTGCTCTTCCAGGCATGCAAACAGCCAAGCTTATTTCTAAGCTCGAATAAATCATCTTCATTTGTGGCTTTATTTAATTTTAGTTATTGAACTTCCCATCAGCCTCTTGCCTCTCAGTTTTCCGGCGGTGAAACAGGGTGATGTAGCTGCCCATGAAAGCTTTGCATCTTTAATTACTGCTTGAAAATACTCTGGCAGGAAAGATCAGGTCATTAAAATACAATCAATTCCTTAATCCAGGTATTTCTGGAGGAAAACACAAACGTTGCCTGAAGGCAAGAGTTCAAAGTTGTCACTACTGGCAGCGAACGGGGAGGGGGGTTTCCGATCTTCCTTTGGCACATTCCCTGTTTGAAGCACAGGAAAGAAATCCCATTTGAACATCTGAGGACAGGAATGCCACCTGGAAGCACATGTGCTCCCGTTTGGGAGCCTGGATTTTGTTTTAAGAGCCTTGTTGATGTGTCATACCCTCAGCTGTGAAAACTCCTGCCTGGGTTACGAGCCCGGGGTGACGATCATCGCCTCCCAGAGGCTTCCAGCAGCTTGTCCCAGCACATCTGGCCAGATGTTCCCGGCTGCTGCCTGAACTGAGATGCCACAGGCTTTGCCAGGTCACCCATCTGAGGTCACACAAGTATATTTTTCCTGTACAAGTCCTGAGAACGTCCTTGGGACGTGTCTCACTCCACCACATGGACACACCCTCTGCAGTCCTCTAAAGACCCATCTCTGACACAAAAACTGTCTTGTTTTATGGCAGTTTTTCCTGTTTCATGGCAGTTTTTCCTGTTTTATGGCATTTTCCCCCTGCTTTATGGCCATTTTTTTCCTATTCTATGGCAATTTTTCCTTTCAGAGCACGAGAAGTCGAAGGAGAGGAAAGGGATGCAAAGCAAAGGGACTCCCAATGATAAACTCAACAAACGAGGACGGGATGACAAGTTCTTGGGTAAGAGACAGGTAAGATCAGCTGCTTCCTAACACCACTGTCATTTTATCCCCTCCTGTGCCTTAGATGCCTGCTGTTTTCTGAAGAAGACTGTTGCAAAATCACCAGGAGCATAAAGACTGAGCAACTGCTTTTAATTCCAAACACATTTATTTTCAGGACACTCACGTCTCCCGAGGCATCTGGGCAAGAAGGCTGTGAGCTCATCCCCACCCTCAGACCATCTTCTCCACCGTTTCCCTTTCACTCTAGTCCTTAAAAAAACAAAAAAAAAAAGGAAGAAAAACTTCCCCGCTGGAGAGCCCTGAGAGAGCAAGGCTGAGCTGGAGCCACCTCGGCACATCTGCAGCAGCATCAGTTGAAGAGGAGGCAACTTCAACCCCTCCGGGAGGGAGAAATACCAGCGAACAAAAGGGTAGCGGGGTTGGGCGGCCTGATTTCGTTCGCATCTCTCCTTTCTCCTCCTCCTCCTCCTCCTCCAGCTTTTCCTCCTACAGCCTTTGGTGAAGTTGCAGCTACTTTTTTGTGCGCTGGCCGGGCGCCAGCCTGTGCGAGTTACACTAATTTGCCGCTTCCATTCAGCGGCCAGAGCTCGTCATTAATTACTCCGTCGCCGCTCGCAGCCAAACGAATTCAACAGGCGAGGAACCTCCTCACCCCCGGGAGTGACTTTCCCCCTAAAGCCAGCGGGATAATGAGGCTCCGGAGGAGCGGGAAGACGGCAGGCAGGGACTCACATTGTCAAGCTGAAGGCTGAGAGCCGAGGGGGCGGGGGGGGGGGGGAAAAAGGGAAAAAAAAATAAAAATAAAAAATAATACGGGAAGGAAAATAAATAAATAAAAAAAGAGCACCCAAAATCTGTATGACTGAAAGAGGCACGTTTAAATGCAAACTCTCCATATGTGCAAGAGTCTGTCAAGAAATGTACAATTTCACTTTTAATTACTGTCAGGGGAAAAAATAACTAAGAAGGAAAACAAAATACATGGGAGAAAAAAAAAAAAAAAAGAAAGGTTCTAAACACTAGAGAAGTATCAGCCACGAAATTTAATTGGTGATCAGGTGTGAATGTCCCTTTATGGCCCCAAAGCCAGGGCCAAAGCCACTGCTCGGACATCTGTCAGCTCCGAGCAGCCCAAGCTCTTCTATTCCAAACCCCAAATCCAAGAGTCATCTCACCCCTAAATTAACCTGGGTCTTCAAGGGCACCTTAAAACCTCATCAAGACCGTCCCGGTTTTAAATGGATGGGGGAAAATAAGGGAGCTGAAAGCTGTGAGTGGCAGCTGAGCACAGCTGGGGCGTCTGCTCCGTCTTCACCGCCCGGGTTTGAGGCTGAATTTCCTAAACCCGGAGAAATTTTCCTCCCCTCGCAGGAGGAAACACAAACCCAGGGTAAAAGGCTGGGTGAAAGGCTCCAGCCCAGCAGCTGCTTTACACCTCTCACCCCTCCAGCACAGGGAGATAATTCCAGTGGCTGGATTTGCTCCCTCCCGGGCTGAAAATGGGCAAAATGGGTAAAGCCAAACTCTCCCTACATTTACATCCCGTCCCGTCCCCGCTCCGCCACCACAAGTGATCCCGGGGTCAATCCCTGAACCTGGCACAGAAAGGATGGAGGCTGAAGGGAAAAGCAAACAGTTGTAACCGAGGGAAGAGCAAACAGGATTTGGATGTGTCAGGGGAGCCGCCGCCGGGGCCAGAAAAGAAACGATTATTTTAACAAGCCCTTAATCTCTTTCACAATGAGCTCAACCAGACTGAATTATTTTGCATCGGCTACCGGGGGGGGGGTGGTGGTGGAAATAACCCCCTCCCCGGGCAGAGCCAGCAGAGTGTATTGACTGATGGGCCCTAAACCTGCTCATACACACCCCGAGCACGTCTCCACGGGGGGGGTTTCGTTGACCCCCAACACCAGCAGGGCTCTGCGGGCAAGGACGGCCAGGCTGGCTCAGCCCGAGCCCGGCACAGCCTCTCTTGAGGAAATCCCATCCCCCCCTATGTGAAATACAAGACTCAAACTGTTTTTATGCCGGAGCAGGCTGCCAATTTTGTCACTAAATTTCACAGATCGATTGGCATAAATGTTACATTTTAATTTTAACATTTGAAACGTTTGGGTTTTTTTTTTTTCCTTCTTCTTTTTTTTTTTTTTTTTTTTTTTTTTTTTTTTTTTTTTAAATGACAAGAGGTTCCAGTTTATCCTTTTCAGAT